TTAGAATCATGAAATGCTCTCAGAATATTGCTTACTTCTTCATAAGGCACACAACCCCTAAGAATTTGGTCCATAAACTTCTTAAAAATATAGGATTCAACCCAAGAGTAGAATCTGACAACAGAAAAGAATTTCTTTTTCTAGTAGAAGTACAAATCGTACAAAACAATTTCACTGACAATGAAGTTTACATTGTCAGCGTACCATGGGGTGAAATTATCAAAGATGGTGAGGAGTTACTCATCCAGGAAATTCTTATTTTTGTCAAGCAGAAACTCCTTCGAACTCTCCTACTCAAATCTAGTCAAGTGACCAGCTACCTCATTTTTTGGACCTTTATGATCCACAATCTCCATATCGAACTCATGTAACAAAAGGACCCAACATATCAAATAGGGTTTTGCATCCTTTTTGGTCATAAGATATATAATAGCATCATGGTCGGTGTAGATCATAACTTTTTTATCTATAAATTAGAATCTAGATTTATCTAATGCAAATACTACGTCCAATAATTCCTTCTTTGTGGTGGTGTAATTCATCATGGCTTCATTAAGAGTTTTACGGACATAGTAGATTGCATGAAACACCTTATTTCTCCTTTGTATTAGCACTGCTTCTACTGCATAGTTACTTGCATCACACATTAACTCGAAGTAAAAATCCCAATATGGTGCACAATCACAGGGGTAGTGACTAACTTAGTTCTCAGAGTCTGCTTGGTTATTTTAGAACCCTAATTAACTTTTCCTCTAGCTCCTTAAACAAATATGCAAAAATGATCACATGAAGAGCTGATGGTTCTCGTACTTGTGGTGACTAGGCAGGAGTTTCAATTCCAATTCAAGGGCTTTCTCAGTGGAGGGTACTAAGGTTGTGGAATTTATGGCGGTGTCTAACAACTCAAAATTTTCTCTATTGACTCTAGTGTCTCCCCCTAGCAGTAGACTATATTCCTCTCTAGAAGTCTTCTCCTCATCCTCAACGCCTATTTGCTCTACTAGTTCATCTGGCAGCGTCTCCATTAACTGGATAATCACTACTCTCTCCATGACCTCAACTCAATTACTATGGCCCTCAGCCTGGTCTTGGTGAAATTTCACGGATCTCACAATATTGAATGCAATTTCCTCATTATTCACTCTCATGATCAACTTTATATTCTGCACATCAATTATTACTCATCCAATGGCTAGGAAGGGTCGGCCTAAAATTGGAGGTACCTCCTTGTCTTTCTCCAAGTCCAAGACTACAAATTCAGCAGTCACTTTTACCAAAACAACTTCTATAAATTTCATGGGATAAGCGAAGGATCGGTCTGCCAGTTGTCAAGTCAGATTGATAGCTTTGTTTTCTCCTAATTCTAACCTCATGAAAATGGATAATGACATTATTATAATACGAGGTCATAAATTACACAATGCCCTTCTTACAAATTTTGCTCCCATGACACAAGGGATGGTAAAACTATCAGGGTCTTTCATTTTTTATGTTACTTTTTTGCAAGATTGCACTGCACTACTCAATAAGTGCTACAATCTCTTAATTCATCAGTTTCCTTTTCTTAGTTAAAACAGCTTTCATAAATTTGGCATAACTAAACATTTGTTTATGGGCTTGAGCAAAGGGTATATTTATGGCGACCTTCTTAAATACCTTCAAGAAACTAGAAAACTACTGATCCAACTTATGCTTTTGTAACCTTTGGGGAAAGGGTGGTATAAGTATCTCATTTGCGTCAATTCAGATGGGTGAGATAAGTCTCTTTGCATCCACTATTGGAGTTTGAGGCTTGATTCCTATAGTAGGATTTCTCTCACTGAGTTGCTCCTTTCTATTGGTTTCTTCTAACTTCTTCCCACTCCTTAATTTCATAGCTTGCATCTGCTCCTTCCCTTTCTCCTTACGTTTCACCTCAAAAATGTTAGGTGATTCCCTAAGGGGGGTCTATTGTTAATTGAATTAGTCAGTTATCCTAATTGAGTTTCAAGATTTATAATGGCTACAACTTGGTTGTAGAATGTGTTCCCCATTTGAATCATTAAATCCTTGATTTGTGACATTTTTTGGGTGGGTTGTGAATTAGCTTAAAATCCTGGTGGGAATTTTTGCTTCTTGGGATATTTTCTTGATTATTCTAATTACATACAAAATTGGCTTGAGGTGGGGCTAGTTGTTATTGTTACATGAAAATTTTGGATGATTTCTCCATGCGCATTGTAGGCGTTGGAATAAGGATTGTGCCCTTGATTTTCTTTAGCATTCACGACTTCTAAACTTGTCAGGTTGGGATCTTACTTGGATTTCCAGTATGGTCAAGGCATTAGTACCTTGTACACTGTCTACTTTCTTTGGGTCCACTCTATCAGAAACCCATTGATCTCTTCTGTCAACGTGTAGGCTTCATCAAAAGGTTTAACCACTAAGGAATCTTCTGTAGCAGCATCTATGATGTATCTAAGTGAGTCTACCAGTCCATTGTAAAAAAATTGGATAGTCATGATGTGAATGATATGTTGGATCACTACATTTTTGCATGATCATAACCTGATCAGCCTTGTTGGCAAGTCATCTTTAATAGGTGAGTAACCCGATGTTGGTCGAGATGTTTTAACGAGCATTATTTGTGAGTATATCTCAACAAGAAATATGAGTTATTGCCATTGAGATTAGCATGTGTATAACTATGTTAAGGTTCCAAGAAGTCTAACATGCATCACTGAAGCTTTTCTTTCGTAGGAACTATTTTAAAATTATAAAAAATATATTCTTATGTTAATATTACACATCATGTCTTGAGCTTATTTTAAAGCCAATGCATCTATAACCTAGACCGGATAGGAGGTCAACTTTTAAAATACTTCTTTCACTTAAAATTGTTATTTTTTGTATCACGTGTTCGGATATTTGGAACCTCATGATGGGGTTGGGGATGGTGACCCAATCAAAGTCATACACAAGCCACAACTACAATTTTGCACACACTTAAATATATGTGTCAACCACCTTATTTTAGTTGTTTGCTAAAATATAGTAGGGAGCAGTTTGGTGTTTTTATATGTTTGACTATCTCTACATGCTTAAGACTTCCTTACCTTTCTTTGATAAATCCCCTTTTGAGCCCAATCATCCTTTTGATATATCATTGAAGTCATCTATCAAGCTTCATTTTGCTGACTGGTCGTGACCCATTTAGAATACAATAATTCTCCTTCTACCCTATGGCACAGTATGACCTTGAAACAATGAGATGAACCTACTTGATGACCCGGTTTCTCATAGGCCTCGTTGCCGATTAGATGTCGGTTGTTTAGGATGTGAGAGATTCACTCTCAGTCCTCACTACTTGGTGTAGGTTTTGAAGCACCATGACATTCCTATTTGAGATAACCCTATCCTTTGGATATACACTATTCAATAGTTGTCACAAAAACACAAGCAGGACCTCTAATTATCAAGAGTATATTTGGGTATCTCCCAAGATGTGATTAACCAAAAGAACATGATCTTTTGTAGTTTCTCTCGATCTCAGAACAAAGAATAAAATTTAGTTCTCTTTTTGTTAGTTTCTTACGTAAGGTCCTCTCTTTGTGGATATGTATTTCAAGATGTTTTGATCCAATCTAGTTTTGTACATACATTTTTGATATATCAGATAAAGTTTATCTTACATAAGTTCTCCACGTTTTTTTTTTTAATTTGTTTGTGTATATATCATTATATTCTCCCACTTTCCAATCCCTTCTCTTCTCCAAATTATTTCAACGATCGAAGCAAGAAGGTTATATGAAAAAGAGAATTATACTACGACAAATAGACAAAATGATAACTTCAAGTTTTAAAAATAACTAAAAACATATATATTATGTGATAAAATCTGTCTATATTTTCTTATAAATTTCTATATTATTTGTCCCAATTTATGCATTTTCAGTGATTTTTTTTTTTTTTTTGTGAAATTGCAGGAAAAATGTACTTATGAAAGCTTTAAAGAAGCCTTGGCAGATATTGTAGTGAAATAGAAGGAAGTCTGTTGAGCCACATATCCAACTAAGCCACGAAGCCATAAGAGTCCTATTTGCCTCAATAGAGCACATCCATGTCATCTTTGGCGTGCCTACACTACCCATAAGCCCAAGCATGCCAAAGGAAATCAAGAGCATGACACCTTTGCACCAGGTATGAGGCGCTCAAGCGCTTCCTCCATAACTAATGCTTAGTGCCTTGGCGCGAAGTATGAGGCGCATAGGTGCGTTCTCCAACACTAGGACACCATTTCAAGAGGTCCAAAGGCACCATCTACAAAAACCCAACACTTCTTCTTATCGAGGGAGTAACACTTCAATGCTCCAAGTAGAAATTTTGGTGTTGATGAACCGACTTGGGGGAGTTACGGTGGTTTATGCTAGCATGGCATCTTCCTGGTCTACAAAAGGCAAAATCTCTTATGAAGGATATCTGGATTGCTATGGAGTAAGGATCTTTTGAGGAGACTAGAAGCCGTTGAAGAAGATGAAGAGGAATTCATCGAAGAAATATCAGAAACATTCATTAACACTTCGAAGGAGGGATTTGAGGTAGTGCTATGAGTATGAGAAAACAGACTTCTAAGTGAGGTCAAGTGAGTTTGGAAAGTGAAATTGTGATTGTTGTGTACTTAGATTGAGAAATATCAGATGTTCAATTTAATGGATTAATTCAGTTAAATTGTTCTAACTTTTATCAGCTTTGAATTAGAAATGAATATTTTATTATGTTTCCTTCTGATGAGTAGTAATTAGATTTCTCACTATGAATTGGTAATCTATGCATTTTAGTTCAACCCATGAATTGTGATTGAGATTTTGTGTGTAACAAGTTGATATGTCCTATAATTACTGACTATAAAATTTTGAAAGCGTTAAATGCTCAAAATTGTTGGGTATGTTAATAAATAAATCCTAATAAATTTTAAAAAACTATTTGGTATTTATAAATCTTTGTCTTCCCACATAGGTTTCAACTCCTCTGAATTCTCCTCTAAATCCAACTTAAATCCTCCTCTAAATCCCTGACCAGACAGGCTCTCGTTGTGCTTCGCAAGGGAACCATTTGCATTTGCAGAGGACGAAGATGGCTTCCGAGAACTCGGTGATGGCCGTGATTAGGGCTTCTCGACCAGCTTTTCGAAACCATCACGACAGGGTCGCCTTTGCCGTCCACGCCTCCGTCCTATCTGCGGGCTTCTCCCTCATAGCTGTCGGTCGAAGAGCCCTAGACAGTGACCCCCCAATCGGTACTTTCCAATCATTTTGATGCAAGTTACTTGAAACTTTTTTTTTTGTTATTTTCACTTAAAGAATTTCTTAAATTTTTTTTCAGAAGGTGAGGAGATAGGGGTTGAGGGATGGAATGAACTGGACGACGCCTACGGATTTGTGTACTCCAAATCAGAGAAAGACAAGAAGAAGGTGATTTTGGTGAAGTGTTTGCCATTGGAGGATTATCTGATGGTTGATGCAGTGGATTTGAAGAGCGACCAGAATGAGCCGTTCCATATGCAAATCAAGTAATTTATGTTTCTTTATTCCTTTCTACTGATTCCTTTTATGGTTTTCGTGTTACTTATTCGGCGCTGTTCTGTTAGTATCAAAGACTATTTGGCCGGCAGTGGAGCTCAGCAGACTACTTATGGAGAGATGTATAAGAATCTCCAAGGCCTTGTAAACAGTGTGAATACATGTATTCTGGAGCAAGTGGAATCTAAGGGCAAGGATACAGTATCTGCAAGATCATCAAGATCAGCTAGGTTTGTAGAACAAAAAGTTTTTTGTACTGTTCAAACTCAGAATTGAACATCCTACATGGCCCTTTTATGCTATATTTCTCTTCTATTTATCCTGATTACCAATGCTAAAGCCTAATTTTATGAGCCAAACATCTGAATTATGTGAAAATATTGCTAGTTTCTGAGTAATCACACGATATTTTACATCTGGCAATGTAAGTTTCATTTTTGGATCTTTTCAACATAATGTTTGAACTGTTAAAAAAAAAAAAAATCATTGGTTCAAGCATAGATCTTGACACAAAATTTTCATGTATCAAAGCATCCAAAATTTCAAATAAAAAATTCTCATAGACTCTGAGATCATCCAAACGTATTCTTTGACCTACTTATATTTAAATTAGTAGCTTGATGGGATAAACATAGGAATGCCAATAATATGTTAATCCAAATACATATGGATTTGCATCAAACACTCAAAAGCATAGTTGGAAATTTCAGGACTATTTGAGGGACTAAACAGCCTTTACATTTCATATGCTTGTAGTCGAAATGAGTATCTCTACTAGATGAACATGAAAAGTTGAATATCATTTAATTCTGTTATGATAAGGCAATAAGATTTCTAAAATATTCCAAATGATCAAGAGGAATTGTTTATATCCTCTCTTATAAGGATAGTGATTGAATAAACTACTGATCATTGCTCAATGTTTGACATTCGACATTCAACATCTATCATTTGACGTTTGATATTCTTGTCGAATTTCTTTGACGACTATCAATGTTTGATGTTTGTCAACCATTGATGATCAATGCTAGATACCCATCTCCCTAATGGTTGGTTTCACTTTTAATAAGGAGACTTGTTGAGCAAGTCATAGACTGTCAGTCAATCTTTGATGTTTCCAGCTGAATATTGTCTGATATCATTAAACATTATCCAACACTGGCGATTTTCAACCATCAATGTTTACCTTCTTGGTTATCTGTCTACCCTCCTATGAGAATGATTGAGCATGCCTCAATTGTTGTCCAACATTTGATTTTCACAGTCAACCAACATTTGGTGCTTGTTAACGTCTATCTAATGCTTGCCTTTCTAGTCATCAACTTCCTATTATATTATGAGATTGATTGGGCAAATTTACTATTGTTTTTTCTCTAGTTTTTATTTGACCATTATTTGGCCCTTTTAGTTGGCTATTGTTGGATTTGTGCCTGTGCCTAATGTCCATAAATCACCATAGTCCGATGCTTGCCTTTAGGGTCATCAATTTCTCCTCTTATAAGGAGAATGAATTGCCCATCAATAATACATAGGCTCTTAGAAAAATCCTTTGCTAGATTTAAGAATTTCATTAGTGTGAAGCTTTGGATTAAGTTGTGGTGGAGAAGGAACTTCAACGTGATGGCAAATGGACCTCACATGAACATCCTGCAAATGATTAACCCTATATTGCTGATTTTGTGGTTAGTGATCTCCATCGTGTTGTGATCATGCACTCTGACTTTAGGCTAATGAAATTTTTTGTCCACTTAAATGCTAAAGGTCTCAGACAAAGTTTTCAGAGTACAACTTCGGTTACTGTTGACCTCATTTTGAGGTCATTACTCTTTTTCTTAAGATCCTAAGATCTAGCTCTAGGAGTTCCTATTGATTATCTTAGAAAATTAGTATTGAAACTCACCTTTTTAGAAATTCCAGACACTTCCTATTTTCCTATGATGTCTAGCATTTATGGTCTCAAAACCATCGTCTTATAGACGAGCGGTTAAGGCCTATTGTGTGGAGACTCAGGGAGAAGTTCCTAATAGGATCTCGAGCCCTAGGAAAATCACTTCATGACTTTATCATTGCACACACTCACCAAATGCACAAAATTCACTAAATTGCACAAAATCAGACATATATTGAGCTTAAAGAATGGGTAAAAATGCAAACTTCTCCGGACGACCTCCGACGATAAAATGAACTGCGCCAACGCGTCCGGGACACCAATTTTAGTTGGAAAAGACACCCTTGCCATAATTTCTGACACGAGAAAATCACACGAAAATCGATGAATTCATCAAAACGACCTCCGACAGAGAAACGGACTGCGCCAGCGCGTCTGGAATGTCAAAATTATTTAAAAAGGACATCCATTTTTTATATGTTATGACGCACAGATAAAAGACACAAAGCAAATTTTATTTTGCAAAATAATAAGTATTTTTATACTTATATCACTATTTATTATAATTTTGATAAACCCTAAATCCTATTTACACCTCTACCCATACATTTAACCCCCCATTTGATCTAGCCCGCGACTCAATCAGCCGCAACGACGTCTCTCTTGCGTGCCCTAGCTGTTCCACGCGACATTCCTCTGCCGCCGATTGCGCACGCTGCTCGTCTCTTATTTGCCTAAAATAGCCCCTTTAGTTCTCTGTGTGGGGTTGTTGAAAAATTCTTGAGAGAAAGGGAGACTGAGTTTTTGTTGTTTAAAGCTTTTAGAAAGGAAAGCTTTGCCAAAATTTTCTCTAGGCTCAATTCTTGTGTGCTGGGAGTTTGAAGAATTTATCGTTTGCTGCATCTTGAGGCTTTTAGGAAAAGGATTGCTGTGAGAGCGGTTTTCTTGAATCTATCTTATAATTTTGCTTTAATTCTGCATAAAAGAGGTATTCTTCTCCTTCTTCCTATTCTATTTTATTTATGATGACATTTTGAGGAATCTCTATCCTCTTACAAAGATTAATTTAAGAATGACTTAGTTTATTTTGAAGTTTAAGCATTGATACATGTTAGATTCAGTGAAAAGGAAGCATCTATGGGTTGCCTCTATTCGTTTTGCTTGAAATACTTGGAAACATTATATTGGTCGTTTGGAAATGAAGTTTGCCCCTCTAGAAATGCATGTTAGGAGAAATTATCAAAGCTTTTATTATTGTTATTCATATTCATGCTTAGAATAAATGTTAAATGTTGGAAAAGGTTGACTCTAAAAGGATTTATTCATGTTTATCCACTGCCTATCACCCTTTGATACAAAAGTTGGAGCCCTCTTATCTTGAAGTTTGGTTTAGCCTCTATGCTGCTCGGTTTTGTCCATCTTGGGCTCGGTTTTATTTGGGCAAGGCTGGATAAATGTTGGAATCATTGTTCTTATTTTTGCTCATAAGCTGGGCTCGGTTTTGGATCACTTTAAAATATACAAATAGATGGAATTCAGTTTCAAAATTTTCTCTAGTGGATGTGGTTTTGGTTTTGCCCTGTGTTGGGCTGGGTTTTACCCCTTTGCTGCTCGGTTTTTGTCCCTTCTTTGGGCTCGGTTTTCTTTTAAAATGAGTAAATGCTGGAAACATTTTTGTTTGCTCTCCCATGTGACTGGACTTATTTTACTCTTGCGTTGAACTGGGTTTTGCCCCTTTGCTGCTTGGTTTGTCCTCTGTACTAGGCTCGGTTTGCCTCTTCTTTGAGTTCGGTTTGGATCTTTTTTTTTTGGATTAAATTGTAACTGAAAGCATTCTCTCTGTTTTACCCCATGTATTAAACTCGATTTGTTCATATATTGGGTTTGGTTTGGGCTTCTTTTGAATCAAATTATTAATGAAAATACCCATTCGTTGGGCTCGATTTTGGTTCTTTTGAGATGAAATTATGCTGGAAATTAATCTTCGTTTTTGGCTCATTTGATGGTCTTGATTTTAGATCTTTTGGAATGGGTAAATGCTGGATATTATTTTTCTTGGCTTGCCCCTGTGCTGGGCTTGGTTTGCCCATTTTCTGGACTCGGTTTGGGCTTCTCTTGGTGATTTATGTTGGTTGAAATCCCTTGTTGTTTTGGAACATTCATTGGGCTTGACTTGCCCCTGTGCTAGGCTCGGTTTGTCTATTTTCTGGACTCGGTTTGGGATCCTTTTGATGATTTATGTTGGCTGAAATCTCTTGTTGTTTTGGAACATTCCTTGGGCTTGGCTTGCCCTTGTGCTAGACTCAGTTTGCCCCTTTTCTGGGCTCGGTTTGGGCTCCTTTTAGTGATTCATGTTGGTTAGAATCTCTTATTGCTTGAATTATTCTTTGGGTTTGTTTTGACACCTTTGTTGAGCATGGTTTTGGTTGGGGCCTCCTCTTTAATGCTCCCCTTAAAATATGTTATTAGTGATCAAGTTTGTCATCCGAAAATTCCTGAATTTCAATACCCATCTCTATGTGGGAATGTTTAGTTTGAGCATTGTCATGAAGGTGGGTTCGGTCCTAGTGGTTTAGGATAGCTTCTCCATTCACTCTCTTATGTATATCAAATACAACGCAATGACATTACTTATGGTAGCTTTCCCCTTTGCTGTGGAGCTAATTTTGGTGAAATTGGTCGCTGCTCTTGTTGTCCCTAATCGTGAGCTTTAAGTGTGGAGGCTTTCCTCCTATTGTCCTTGTTCGTGGAGCTATTTTGTAGGGGCCTTTTTCTTTTCTCATTACCCTTGACGTGAGCTTTGCTGCAGTGATTCTTTGGTTTGGTGACGTGGTTCAGGGTCGGTTTTTTTTTAACTTTTTGCTGCCTCCCTCCTGGCCTTACCCGTGAGCTGCTCTATGCTGTTTGGTGGTGGCTTTTGCGATCATTTTTGTCCCTTTTATCGGCCTTACCCGAGAGCATATATTTGGTTTCTTTTATGCAATGTTGGATGTATATCTCATTGTAAACTTTTGATGAAGGATAAAATTAAATTATTGTGACATTGGTGTGATTTTCTGGAAGGTTAGAGAGTTATTTCTTCTATTGGTTAATGTCCCTTCTTTTGTGAAATATAAAGGGTTTTTACAATTTCATTTGGAAGAAACATAAAGTTGATACAAATTGGATTCATGAAGGGTTTGAAAATTCATAAAAATTGCCATTTGGAGAGGATTTTGGAGGTTCAACGCTAAAATTTGGATAATATAAGTACCGCATTTAGGTTCAGGATTGAGTGTGTGATTGCATACAAGTGATTGGGACATGGGTTTATTGTTATGCTAATCTTAAGCCCGTTTCAAT